TCAAAAGACAAGAAGATAAAGTGATGGTACACTTGATCTTTCAAGTTGATGTTGAGGTGTATCATGGAAATATGATGAATTTTAAAATCATGACGATGTACTTATAATGCAAATTTATGAAGTACATATAAATGATTAGTCCATTCCTTGAAGTGAATGTGACTTGTGATGAGTATCGTGAATGCTCGACCATTCTATAAGAGAATGAGTCAAGATGTGATAAAATCATTATGGATTGAATATATGTCACAACTCACCTCTATGGAGGTCTGAGAAAAATGATATATACCAAAATTCACTCTACGGGAGGTTTTAGAGGAAATAAATTTTATTGCCAGAAATAGTTAATGGTATTGTATGTTTATACGTCACTATGGTATGTTTATTGTGAACTACCGAAAGAGCAAAAGAAAGAAATAGTTCTTGTCTATAAGGGTTGTAGTCATTATTGTGTGGCAATACAAATTTGTCATTAGTTGTGTACCTATGGTACAACAAAAGTAAAACAAGAAACATGTCTTGCTCGTAATGATTTTGATCATGACAATGATAATATAATTTTCTCCTTGAAGGAGATGCTCACCATAGGGATGGTGTCATGGAATATGTGATAGTACACAAAATTAAATTGCAAGCTCTAACGAGTTGTACTATTATCAAAGGAATAATATTGGGTTGTAGTAAGTCTCAAAAGAAATATTGAGACTATAAATTATGAAAAGATTTAATATCTTTAAACTATTACAATCGAAGAGGGTTATAAATATTACCCATTTTTTCTCATGTTTGTTGCACACAAACATGGGCATGTTGATGGAATCACATGCAAAAGTAAACTATAAGTGTACTGAAATAAAGATCAGTTGGCATGATCAGTTGACCATTCTGATTTAAATGTGATGCAAATGTACTTGAGAATTTATGTGGCTTATCTGATGAAGAAATAAAAGATTCTTCAAGAATTCTCTTGTATTGCTTGTTTTCATTGTACCAGCTAAGGTTGGGATTGTAATCCCCTGAAGTTTTTGGAACATATAAAAAGGTGAGTATGGTCCCATTCACCTTCCATGTGGATCATCTGTAACTATAGGATAGATACATCTATGCGATGATCACATGTGTTTTATTGTCAACTTACAAATTGGTATTTGTAAGGTTGTTTGCTCGAATTGTTAAATTAAGAGCACAGTTTCAAATTATGAAATTATATTGATAATGCTGGTTGATTTAGCAAAAATTATATGCCTCCAACTATAGCTAAATCATGGTTAAGAGAACAGAAATCCCAAAACAAAATATGGTCTGAAATAAATTTATTTAACATGTAGCAACACATGTATGCATCAAGTCAATAAGGTCTCCCCATTAATATTGGTTCAGGGTCAGGAGCCATATAATTTTTATCTAAAATGTTAAATGTGCGGTTATGATTTTAATTGCTCCACCATGCATAAAGATGAATTCCCAAATAAGGTTAACATGAATGTTAGATTTTCTAACATTAGGGTGAGAGACGATTTTGACAGCTGAAAATTATGTGTGAGCTTAATTATGAATTATCTAGATTCTCGTTAAATATATATATGTGAACTTAAAGTTCTAGGGATAATTCATTTGCATAATGTTGTAAATCAATTGTCAGATGAATGTACTGACCCTATGATATAATTCAGCTGCAAATGCTCCAATCTGAAGTTCTTTAAGGACAGAGTCTATGATACGCCGAAAGCGTAATAGGCCAATCGGTTTCAAATATAAAATTTCTTGAAGAATGAAGTAGCAAATAATCAATATGATCATGATAACGAGGCAAGTGCTATAAAATAGCACATTGACATAACACTTCATAAAACCTCGGAAAAGGTTAAGGTACCTAAAAAAAGAAAAATGAAAAGATCTCGATAAGTTATGTCATATTGGAATAGATATCAAATAACCGTCGACAGTATCTTTGATATGAGGTAGCGCTCAATGATATAAATTGTGACGATGATCTTGAATTAAAATCTGTCATATAGTTTGGACAGATAAAAGGTTGGCCAAGTAAAATGCATGATTCAAGTATATTGTTTCACTTACAAAAGTGACGTTTTGGACAGATAGTCCATTGATCAAGGTATAATATCAGTGGGGTATAAATAAATTATTATGCGATTGTATAACCGTAAGATATCAAATATGGTTTGTGCCTTGGGGCATAAAGATTTGTCGCAAAAATCCTGACATTTTTGAAAATATTTTTCTCGTATGGTGGATGCAATGAGGTTTTTTTTTATCTGGCAACATATGAAAAACTTGTATGCATGTAACGAATAATTGCAATGTCTAGCTAGACAACAGAGGTTATATGAAAATCCTTGAAACAATCGAGGTGTCTGAAGCATATAAGAGTTTGAAAGAAACTTTTTCAATAAAGCTTCAAGAATCCTTATATGGATTGAAATAGTCAAGGAGGAAAATGGTACAAAAGAGTGACCTTAATTGTATTTGTATTTTACGAAAAGGTCTTGGTAAGACAGAATTTGTCTTGACCTACTGATTGATAATTTGACAAATGAAATATTTGTCTAGCAGTGCACATACACAGATATGTTTTGATGCGTTTTATATGGATAAATCATATTCATTGAGTACCCCAATGATTATGAGATTGCTTGGAATAAATGATGATTCAATTTGATCTCAAAAGAAGGATGAAGAGCTTCTTAGTGATGAAACTCCATATCTTGGTGCAATCATGGCACTAGTGCATCTTACTAACAACATTACCAGATATTTATTTTGCAGTAAATTCACTGGCAAGATTTAGTTTCTCCCCGATAAAAGGACATTGAAATGGTGTTGAGCACATGATTGAATATCCATGAAGGACCATAGTTATGAGTTTATTCTATTTTGAGGAATTCAAGACAAAATTGATTAGTTACGCAGATGCAGAATATTTATCTGATCCGCATGAAACTCTATCTCAAGCACTCTATGTGTTTGCATGTGGAGGCACAATAATATACTGGCGATCAATGAAATAAATGTTGCTATGCAGAAATAAAAGTCCTCCATGAAGCAAGTCGAAAGTGCGTCTGGTTGAGATAAATGACACACCATATTCAGGAAATGTGTGGTTTTTCTTTGAAAAAGAATATACCAACCACAATGTACAACGATTAGAGACATCATCACAGAAATTAAGTGATGTTTTAATCAGGGGGAGTAAAATACGCGTTGCACTCTTTTTTCCTTGACCGAGATTTTTTCCCACTGAATTTTCCTGGCAAGGTTTTTAATGAGGCAACAAATAATGCGTATCAAAAGATATGTGTACTCTTTTTTCGACCCTAGGATTTTTTTTCCCATAAGATTTTTCCTAGTAAGATTTTAACGAGGCACATTATCTATGGACATCCAAGGGGGAGTGTTATAAATCCATTGAATAGTGGATGACCATTTGGTTTATTCATGAACTACTAAATTCATGTGTGTGTATTCCCTTGACGATATGAACCCCCCCCCCCCTTTTTAGATAAAATGTAGATAAATATGTATCTAATAGTTAAATGACTTTTGGGAGTGATATCTCAACACTATAATTAAGATATCACTCACCTTTTTGATATACACTTGAATAAGAAGAAAATTCCTCTTCTTCTATCACTCACCTTTTTGATATACACTTAAAAAAGAAGAAAATTCCTCTTCTTCTATCTACTTCTCTTGTCTTCTTCTCTTTATGATTATATTCTTATAGCTTGATTTTATAAAATACATAAAATTATTCCAATTTGTTTTTATAGTTTTAAAAAATCATAATTATATAAAAATATTTTAAAAGTCGAATCCATATATATTGTGTGAAAGGTACGGCTCAAAGACATTCTAAAAAAAAATGAACGTGTCACATAACTTATTTTAACGTACTAAAAAAGGGAAAATTTATGTGATTAAGTAAATATCTACTCCAGTCATTCCATTTTATGCCACACTTTTCGTATTTTGAGATTCAAATAAGTCTATTTTTTGTCAGAAATTTTTCATAAATCCTTTTAACATTTTGAATTATCAAATATATAAATTTCATTTGAAAAAACTGAAGATTTCATATGCAAATGTCCAGTCAAAGTTAATCTGTTTGACTCTGAAAAACAAAAAAGTCACATAAAATGAGACAGAGGGAGTACTAGTTAATTAGCTAACATTGATATAGTTTGAGTTAATTATAGCTCGAAGCTTAATTTTAGTAGTTATTACGTCATTTCTTCCCTCTCTCTTGCCTCTCTCCTCATTTATACATAAACAAATACAAATTATACATATACATATAAAATATATGACAAACATATTCAATTAGCATCTTTCCACTCTTTCCTCGCTCTCCCAATCTCGCTCACCATATATACAAATACATATGTATATCAATTACATATATATAATTATCTTACAGATATACAAATACATTTCAGCTCTCTCCACTATATGCTCTCTCTCGCTCCCTATCTCCTCCCTCTCCCAATCTTGCTCGCGTCTCTCTTCTATATCCCGATCACGTCATCCATATATACATATATAATTCGATAGATATACATATATAATTCGTCTATCTGTATTCTCTGGCTCGCTTCTATCCTCCCTCCAATGCATGACTACGAATCATAATTAACAAACTATAACTATGAAACATAATTAAGTTATTATGGAATGACCATAAGCGAAACTTTCCCAATAATATAACATGTAAACAAAAAAAAAAATTCTTACACAATGCAATACATAAAATTTAGTAGTAAATTACATATGCCTCTCATGAACTTTTGTCATATAAACACCAAAACAATGTCAATGTTTAACACACAAGCATAAGAAATCACAAGAACTATAAGGGTGAAGTTTATAAGGGAACTCATTTTTTGATGTTGCTCGAATTTTTCAAAAGTGTTATTTATTGTATGTCAAATTCTCTAAAAATAATAACTTTTTAGATAATTTAGCACGGATATACAACATTCTTAAAGAGTTTAAGCAATATAATCTTTAATTTTATTTGATTGGACGATCAAACTTGCCTAATTTCCATAAAGATGACATAAATAAGGGGATAAACTTTTGAACACTATCCATGCTTTATTTCTTTTATCATTCTTGCAGATTGAAAAGAAGAAAAAAACTTGGGCTTCGTGATCTTCTAAAGTAAACCCGATTTCCTACAAGGAGAGGAAGATTTCATATTAGATATTTCATGATCATTAAGGCATATTTAAAATTTAAAATTCAGTCAATATAATGTTATCATCGTAATATCAATTACGTTTTGTAAAAAATCAAGAAAATATCAATATGTGTGTGGATTAAATAAAAAAAGCTTTAAAGATTATTTCTATATAATTTATTTTTTAAATAAATAAGAGACTGAGGAAAATTACCTGAAATAGCTCATTGTTGGCAATTGTAGAATTAAACATTTTTGGAATGATCAAATAAGCAAAGACAAGGAATTAATTAACTACATTGTGTTTGATTCCATTTGATGGAATATTCACACACACACACACACATATATATATATCACCTTCAACTTGAAAATTAATTGATTAATATTTAGACAAGGAGTACCTTTTTATAGGTTCATTAAACCTGGTCACTCCTTTATTTGCACGAGTTTATGAGTATATCGTTTAGTGTAAAAAAAAATTATATTAATAATTGTTTTTAATTAAAATTAGTGAATTGTTTAATTTTCATTATTATAATTTATATATGTGTATTTATAAATATCTTCTGGATAATTTAATAAGGTAAAAATATTTCACGATAATAATATATATAATTTAAATTCATTTAAATATCAAGCCTACCTAAAATATCATGCATATGTTAATTTCCCTCTCATTTTTAACATGTAAAGTGAGTCATAGAGGGACCTTACAGACTGTATGTATGACCTAATTCTTTTCAAAAAGTTAATTGGAATAATTATTAATTAATGTTGACTCCAATATTTAATTACTTTTGTATTTATTTTTATTTGTCTATTTTATTAAATATTATTATTTTTATTATTCAATTAGAGAAATTAAGTGATTTTTATCATTAATATTAATCATGAGTTTTTATATTTAAAAGAGTAATATAATATAATTGTCATTTTATTCATTGCTTTTTACGGGATGCATGTACTAAATCAATACAAGATAAATAAAAATAGATGGAAGAGATTTGTTTAAGCATAAAAACACTTTACGAGATTTGTTTCTATAAGTGGAGTAAGATATTTTTAAGCTATTTATATTGTGCAGTAAGATATTTTTAAGCTATTTATATTGTGCTAAAGATATGTTTTATCGAATAGGTGAAGAAAAGATAAACTTGTTGCAATAAGTGAAAGAAAAGTATTTTTAATCAATATATAATACATTAAAGACATTTTAATTTTTTTTATCATTTAGTAAATTATCATATTTTTATTTTTCACTTAATTTAAGAAATTTTGAGACTATAATCTAATGATACTTTTACTTTTAAGTAAAATGAAAATATTAAGAGAAAATGTAAGAAAATGATTTAAATCTTAGTCAGTTATAAAAAATACTAGATGAAATTCTAACATTTCATTTATAAAATTAAAATAGTATATGATTAAATATTAGATTTGAGTCTAATTTGTTTAAAATGATACATTTACGAGGTTTATTTTTGCCAATTTTAAAAAATTATGTACAAAATTCAAATAATCGCCAAAATAAGGTAATTTAAAAGAATATCCTTATAACTAGTTGATCTTGAAATTCTTGAATTTCAAATTCAACTCTTAATTAGAATGATTTAAACTTGAGGGAACGGAAGTGTTTAAAATTCTTCAAAAATTATGAAATTGATTATTCTTTAATCAAAATTAATCATATCCAAAATAATCAAATTTGCCATATCTCATATCCCATCAAAGTAACTATTCAAAATCGATACTTTTAATTCACCGCTAAGAAATCACTGAAAATTAGAATAATTATTTTCATATTATCACGAAGTTTTCAACAAACAAATCGACCTTGCAGATTATTTTTGCCACGTAGGCACGCAAGGGGTAATATATTACTTAAAAAAAAGTTGGAGGGGGTAATAGGACCACATCAAAGATAAGGTGTGTCGTAGGGATTTTGGGTATAGGCTAGGGGTAATTGGGTATTATCCCAATGAATTTATAATGAAGAGGAACACTCTATTTATAGGAGAAATCTAACTTGGTCCCCAAGTAGGACTCTTTAACCATATCCTAAAAAGGACTCCACATGTAGACATTTACTATAATACAAATAATTTATAACACTCCCCCTGAATGTCTAATTCATAAATGACGTGCCTCGTCAAAAACTTTACTAAAAAAAACTTTAAGAAAAGAAAAAGCTAGTAAGGAAAAGAGTACACATATCAACTAATACACATCTAAGCTGCCTCATTAATAATTTTACAAGGAAAACCAATGAGACAAAACCTCGTAAGGGAAAAAAAGTACATCGCGTATTCACTCCCCCTAATGTTCCAAGCTTGTGCATCATCCTCTTAAAAGTTGCAGTTGGTAGAGACTTGGTGAATAGATCAACCACATTGTCACTTGAACGAATTTGTTGCACATTTATATCATCATTCTTTTGAAGTTCATGTGTATAGAAAAGTTTCGGTGAAATGTGTTTTGTTTTATTTCCTTTTATGAATCCTCCCTTAAGTTGTGCTATACATGCTGCATTATCTTCATATAAAATGGTGGATACTTTATCACATTTCAAACCACATTTCTCTCGAATGAGATGTATCATAGACCTTAACCACACACATTTTCTACTTGCTTCATGAATAGCTATTATTTCAGCATGATTAGATGAAGTGGCTACGATGGACTGCTTTCTAGATCTACAAGATATGACAGTCCCCCCACATATAAACACATAGCCTGTTTGGAATCGAGCTTTGTGTGGATCAGATAAATATCCTGCATCAGCATAACCAACAAGATTTGGGCTACAATTAACAGAATAAAATAAGCCCATATCAGTTGTCCCTTTAAGATATTGCAAAATGTGTTTGATCCCATTCCAATGTCTCGTAGTAGGAGCAGAACTATACCTTGCTAACAAGTTAACAACAAAAGTTATATCAGGCCTTGTAGTATTAGCAAGATACATTAGTGCACCAATTGCACTAAGATATGGTACTTTAGAACCAAGAATTTCTTCATCCTTTTCTTGAGGGTCAGAATGGATCCTTATTCACATCAAGTGAACGAACAACCATCGGAGTACTTAATGGATGCGCTTCATCCATACAGAATCTTTTCAACACTTTTTCTGTGTAGGCAGATTGATGAACAAAAATACCATTTGTCAAATGCTCAATTTGCAAACCAAGAGATAATTTTGTCCTTCACAGATCTTTCATCTCAAATTCATTCTTTAAATAATCAATTGCCTTTTAAATCTCTATTGGAGTTCCAATAAGATTTATGTCATCAACATAAATAGCAAGTACAACAAATTTCGATATTGTTTTCTTTATAAAGACACATGGACAAATTGCATTATTTGTATAACCTTCCTTAATTAAATACTCACTAAGACGGTTATACCATATGCACCCAGATTTCTTCAAACCATATAATGATCTTTGCAATTTAATTGAATATATTTCTCAAGATTTTGAATTACATGATTTAGGCATCGCAAATCCTTCAGGAATTTTCATGTATATCTCATTATCAAGTGATCCATAAAGGTAGGCTGTAACCACATCCATCAAATGCATTTCAAGTTACTCATGGACTGTGAAACTAATGAGATAACGCAATGTTATTGCATCCATAACGGGTGAGTATGTCTCTTCATAGTTGACGTCAAGCCTTTGAGAAAATCTTTGTGCCACAAGGCGTGCTTTATACCTTTGTATTTTATTTTCGCACAAAAATCCATTTGTAACCAACAGGTTTAATATCATTAGGTATTTGAACTATAGGTCCAAAAACTTCACGCTTGGCAAGTGAATTCAACTCTGATTGAATTGCTTCTTGCCATTTTGGCCAATCATTTCGTTGTCGACATTCTATAACAGATTGAGGTTCATGATCCTCATTATCTTGCATGATATTTTTTGCAACATTATATGCAAAGACATAATCAACCACTATTTCTGATCGATTCATATTAGTTTCAACATCTCTTAAATTTATGGATAGTTCATTATTTCCTTGAGTTTCAAGTTCATTGATTCTTTCATGAATATCAAACTTATTCAAATTTTGAACTTCCATATGAGATTCTTTCATAGTGTCATCTTGACATTTAATCTTTCTTTTTCTAGGATTTTGATCCTTAGACCCCAATGGTATACCACGCTTTAGGTGTGTTTTTGACTCATTAGCTATGACACCAGTGGATGGTCCTTTAGGGACATCAATTCGAATTGGGACATTCTCTGCAGGAATATGTAATTTAGTAATCCTTTTCAAATCTGTAAATGCGTCTGGCATTTGATTTGCAATTTTCTGCAGATGAATAAGACTTTCCAAAATGAGGGCTCAACATATGGGACCTCAACCAGGGAGTCTTCGTTAGCAAACACAGAGTCTACTTCATCCATTCATACGTACCTCATTCAATTCATTCATAGGCTAGTGTGAACACCAACATTACCTAGGATGTAGTTTAAGACTTTCATCGGATTTGCTGTGCAATGATCAGGAACAACCTAATGTCATTACCTGAATCTAGCTCACCTCTTGATTGTCCAATCATAACACCTTCGGTATCATTCATTTCTTTATATGATTCATTTGAGGCTGGCCTCATTCATTCATTGGGAACTTTAACTTTAACCGACATAGATCATGTGAGCATCATGAAATCCAGTGTCTGCCCCACACCGAAAAGAGGTGGAATCACCGACAAAAGTGATTCAATAACATGCTAGCGTATATGGAAATTTAACCCCGCCAGATCCCTATAGTGGCAATATAGGTTCAAATACTAGGAGATGTATGGAGACCCATACTCGGCAAGCCGGACAGTCTCATCTCATGAGAGTTATGTGAACCTCCGCCCTTCTCGAAAGAAGGCATCACCGCTCATAGCTAGCCTATCGGTGCTCAGTATAAAGTTTCATTACATTCAACTCATACATCATGGAAGTTGGCTTCTAGTATGAGGACATCGTAGCTCAATAGATGATTTCTCATCTCATCATTAGTATTAAGTGTTTTAAACTCAATATTTTCATTAGAGTGTTCATCGAGACTGATCTCTTCATTATCTTAGACTCTCATTGGTGAGTACGTGTTGGTAACATTTACTTAGGCTCATTTGAGATTGCTCTCATTATATACATTAGCCTCACATCATGATTGTCACCACATTCTTCATTTCGTTACGTATATCTTAGGTTCACTTATTCTTGAACGTATGTTAAACTTATGTGTCTATACATACAAGTCATGGGGCTTCATTTATAATTCGTTAAGTGATTCTTATTTTCCTAAGATTATGTATTACAAGATTTATGTATCTTGTATATTTACCAAGATCTTGATTTTTTATCTAAGTAGATGGCATTA